TTTTTCAGAACCGTTGAAATTTGAATTTTTCAGAACCGTTGAAATTTGAATTTTTCAGAACCGCAAAAATTTGAATTTTTCAGAACCGTTAAAATTTGAGCTTTTAAGAACCTTTAAAATTTGAATTTTTCAGAACCGTTGAAATTTGAAATTTTCAGAACCGTTGAAATTTGAATTTTTCAGAACCGTTAACATTTGAGCTTTTCAGAACCTTTAAAATTTGAATTTTTCAGAACCGTTAAAAATTAAAATTTTCAGAACCGTTATAATATGTGCCACTCTCAGCTAATTTTTCACAATGATACCGACAGCATACAACACACAATACAAAACAGCACATCTTATAAAGTAAACAAAAACACAAATAATTTACCACATGCTATGTACGAAAGGATATTGGACTTTAGGTGACGATAAAATTTATTTTCTTAAAGGATTTTGAGATTTTCTAAAAATAAAAACGTAATTTTCTCAGTGATTGGATGCAAGCTTTCAAGCTTTCTTTATTTTCATTTTGTTTTGTCATTTTTTTCTGGGTTCGGTTGATGTTCAACAAACAGTATGAATAGAATGATTATCATAATAAGGATATATACTTGAAAATAATCGGATTTCACACTTCCTTTAGTATGCTTTCCAAATAATCTAAGTTGAAATGAAATTCTCGAATGAATTGGAAAGAAAAATTTAACAACAGAAGGAAAAAGTCGTCGATGAAAGTAAACAAAAAAGAAATCCACACACGAAAGTTGTTTTGAATGCAAAGAAGTTCAATAAACTTAATATTTAAGATTGTACATAGTTTTGGACAGAGAGAAAATATAAAACCTCGTTTTTGATGTACGTCATTTATAAACAGACCCTTCCAGAGTTTCAATGTCACTTGTTGGTTCAAGCTCCCATAAGCTCCCCTTTTTGTGACTTAATGAATTAATTCCTTACCTAGGGTGACCATCTGCGTAGTTTTACAACGGACAGTCCTGTATTTCAAAACCCTGTCCTGTTTAAATTTGAAAATTTTGTTCCAGGTCCTGTATTTTTTTCACGAAAATTTCCGTTAATTTTCGAATTTTACTCTATGTCCTATATTTTTCGAAAAAATTTACCAAAAGTCCTGTATTTTCATGAAAATTAGATGGTAACCCTACCTTACCCCATTTTCACCCAAACTGCTCATATTGTCCAAACATAACTTCTTTAATCTCATTTTTCAAATGCCCCAACAAAGGCACAAGCATCAAGTCACCAAAAAAAGAAAAAAAAATGAGATAATGCAAATGAAAACATTTCTATTCATTCATTCCTTATTTTTCTACTCGTGTCTGTACTTTGTCTTTGTCTTTCTCTCTGCCTTGCCTCAGAACTGTCCAAGCAAGAAAACTTGAGAAGCAACACAAAAAAAAAGTTTTGTTTTAGCCACAGAAAATGGAATTTTTGTGCAGGGGTGATTAATGTGTGGCATTTTGGGAAGTCTTTGGAATTAAAATGTTATCTGCAGATGAAATAATTAAATTTATGCACTTCTTTTAAGCACGTCTGGGACTTGATGGACATTTTGAATTACAATTTAAGAATGTGTAAAAGTTAGTCATTGAAGTTGCTGCTTTAATAATCAACCTACTCATTCTTTCCCTTTTCATTCCACCCACAAAAATATTCTGACTTACGCAAGGACCCCCTCAGGAGCAAAAGTCTCTCTCCTTCATCATCATGTCTAAAAATGTATTTGCATTTCTTTCCAACAATCTTTATGGCTTGCGGGACACTCAAACTTAAATTGTATGTGTGTGGAAATGGCAAATGGAAAGAAAGACAAAAAAAAACAACAAAATACAGAAAAAGATTTGAGATTGGTGAGGTTTTTAGGGATGGGAGCATAGAGCGCATTTGAGTTTTGAAGGTCAAATGATGTTAAATGATGAAAACGTTTGTTGATAGACTTGGTTTGGTTATAAACTTAGCTGGAAAGCTTAGATTCATGGCTGAACTTCAAAGCTGAGGTTAGCAACAGAACTTGAATTTAAATCTGAACAGCAAGGCTGTAACACAATGCTTAATTACACAGCTGAACAACAAGGCTGAACCATAAAGCTGAGATTTATAGCTGATCCACAAAGCTGAGCCACAAAGCTGAACTCCAAGGCTGAGTCACATAGCTGAACAACAAGGCTGAGCTACAAAGCTGAGCTGCAAAGCTGAACGAAAAAGCTAAGATTTAAGGCTGAATCACAAAGCTGAACTACAAAAGTAAACACCAAAGCTGAACTATGAGGCTGAGTCACATAGCTGAACTCAAAAGCTAAGCTTTAAAGCTGAACTAAAAGGCTGATATTAAAGGATGAAGACAATGCTTGACCTTAAAGCTGAGCCACAAAGCTGATTGAACTACAAAACTATACTTCAAAGCTTAACTACAAAGCTGAGTTTTTAAAGATTAACTTCGAAGCTGAACCACAAAGCTGAGCTTCAAAGCTGAACAACAATGTTTGGCTTTAAAGCTGAGCCACAAAGCTGAACTTTAAAGCTGAGCTTCAAATCTGGACTCCAAAGCTGAGTTGAAAACCTGAACTTTAAAGCTGAGCTTCAAAGCTTAACTTCAAAGCTGAACTACAAAGCTGAACGTGAATGCTGGTCTCAACAGCAAGGCTAATGTTACGTTTTTGTGAATTTGGATAAAAAATAAGTGATTTAGAAGCTTTAATGTAGCATTCTGAGCAACTTAAATCTCAAAACTCAAAACGCTCTTAATTTGAACCTCATCACCAAAAAAACTGGCGCTAAAAATAAGAAATAAGTAGGAGCTCGGAAGGAGGAAGTTAAAATATTACATCATCCTTAGAATGTACTTTATTAAACTTTTTCCATCTCATTTTTTTTTTTGGATGTAATCCTTTTGGATAAATTTAATCTGATTAAATCTAACCCTGACTGAGAGAGAAAGTCGACAGCGATTGTGAAAAAAAGAATAGTAGAATTTCATGATAATAATAGAAGAAATGAATGAATATAAAAAAAGCCAGAAGAATGAATAAATTTTGGGTCACTTTTCCTCCTTCCAGAGTCTTTCCCATCCTGTGCCTAGTTTTCTCTGTGTTATATATTTTTTTATTCATTTGCATTTTCGCAGTATTTTCGCTTTTATTATTGTTTATTAGGACTTTTTTTTTGTGTGGATTTATGAGCATGCTGTGCACACTATTGCTGCCCATACCCGCCCAAACAATTTTCATTTCTTTTATATTTTATGCTTTTTAATAAATTTAAATTACCATAGATGTGAATGAGACAATGATGCTGATGGTAGTGGCTGTGAAGGAGGAGGAAAAATTGTTTAAATTATTTTTTTCTATAGCATTGTTTACTTTATACCATAGCGCATTATCTTCATTTTATTTTTTGTCGATGTAGGTTTTTGATGCTATTTTTAGGATTTTCCTCTCTTGGGGTTATTTGTACTTATTTAAATTAAATCATTTTACTTTTCAGAAAATAACTTGTTATTGTTGAGTAAATCCTTGTTGTCACTGCTAATTAAATATTTCTACCTTGTTGGATAATTAGGTAGCCATTTGTTTTGTATGCAAACTGCAAGGGGCCGTTCACTTATGATACCTGAAATTAACGGTCACTTTTCGAAAAAGAACAATGGATTTCCAGGAATTTATATTGTTCTCTCTTTTTGTGGATTCACCTGGACGTCATAAATGAACGGTCCCTAGTCTAATAAAGGGGAAAACAACATGATGGGAAATTATTTATAATCTAAAATTTTCAATAAAACTTCAATTGAATTTATTGGGAAATCAGGAGCTTTTTGGATAAAAGATGTTTACCCATCAAGCTGTTCACCCCTTACATCTATTCCTTATTTGTTTATTATGTGTCAATCAGCTTATTTTAAAATGGAAATCATCGACAAAACTAGCTTGATTATCATGAGTAATTCCTTTACTTATTTCTTACTTCGTGTGATCCATGACCTCCCTTAATCGTCCCTTAAAACTAGCTTTATCGCTGTCAATTGCCGATTTCAAATGAAACACTATCTCTATTAAGAGCCTTTTTCCATGAGTTCTTTTGCAATGAGTAATTAGCACTCATTAATTATTCCATGAATATTGCACTTTTAGCCAGGTTTTCATCGCTCTTTTTTAATAAGTGACCGTTAATTTTGGACGTCTTAAGTGAACGACCCCTAAAATTGCTCGGGTTTTTATTGATAGAAATAAAATTTTCACTATCTTCGCTCCCAAAGTTCTCCCTGTGCCGATGATTAGATCCCAAGTGTCTAGAAATACACAATATTAAAGATTATGACGCAAATCGATTTACTATTGACTCCAGAAACCTTTCCTTTACTACTTGAATGAAGACTACTATCGAATTTCTTATAATTTATATGACTTTATATGTATGTGCATAATCATTGTTCATATCCAAAAAAAAAGAATAAAATTTTCTACACACCCACTTGCCGTCTTATATGAAAAAACGAATCTATTCGAGAACATGAAGCTGTTGAAACTTTTCCAATGCAATAAAAAAAAAATTCATGCGAACAATGTCAACAAATATATAAAAATGATATTCTACAACTGCTGACAAATTATTTTATTCAAATGATGATAAGTACAAAAGAATGTCGAGTATGGGGAAGAAAACAATTGCTGGGGTGACATGAGCGCGAAAAAATAATGTCAGAATGAATGAGATGAGGCTATATATAGAAACAAAAATAAGTGAGAGGTCGTGGTGGCTTAAAAATGAGATGAAAAAAAAACACATGCAAACATACGCCATCCGGTGAAGTGAATGATATAAATCCAACAAGAAACAATAACATGTGCACAATACACCGTTTTATTGTTAATATTTCCATAAAGTTTGCTGCTGCTGAAATTATACTGTACGCTGTTTTACGTATGGAAATATACGCACAAATTTTAGCGATAAACTGTTCGAATTGAAGAATTTTTTTGTGGTCAATTTGGATTAGGGTTGGGCAAAATCGTAGTCGAATATATTCGACTATAAATAGTCGCATATTATAGTCGAATATATTCGACTATATAGTCGCATATGCATTTTTCAAAAAAAACCGTTAATTATCACGGTTTTAAATTCAAAGTTGGTTTAATTCTTTTAATTAATTATTTCGTCATTAATTTATTGATCAACTAATATTTATCGGCATAGCTATAAAAAAGTAAGTACTTCCATCACTTTTCCTTTGCATTTGTATCGATTAGTAATTTTTTTCAATGATTTTATTTAGATGGGAATATTTGATATCAAAAAATACTTGCGGTCACCAAATAAGGGAAGAGGAAAGTGCCGAAAATGCTCTAAGTCATGTCAATGGTCCAAGGAGAGAGTACAAATGCATATTAGGAATTGTGAGAAGTCGTCTGATGATGAAAAGTTGATGTTCCCAACTAAATTGCAAACAACTCTAAAAACTAATTCAAGCATCGAAAATCCACAACATTTAACACCTGAATTACCATCATGCTCTACGAATACGCTTAAAGAAGCTATAGCTAACTTCATATTCAAATCCGGTGTATCTTTTCGAGTTGTTGAGTTAGATTGCTTTAAAGAAATGTTTTTTGTTCTTAATCCAGCTTTAGTTGAAGCCATTCCAAGCCGAAAAGAGCTTTCAACAGATCTACTTGATGCTGAATACGACAAAGTACAGCGAAAAATTCATAACGTTCTCACTAATTCAACGAATTTGACTCTCATATCCGATGGATGGACAAATGTTACTGGAGATCATATTGTTAATTTTTGTATAAAGGCTCCTGGAATGTCCACTTTATTCTATAAGTCTATAGATACTTCTGGTACCGGACAAACTGGTGAAGAAGTTGCCACGCAGATATCAAATGTAATTGAGGAATTGGGACCTGAAAATTTCGTGTCGGTTGTTACAGATAATGCAAGTAACATGCGAGCTGCTTGGAACTTGATTGAGTTTAATTATCCTCATATCGCTTGCAATGGATGTAGTGCCCATGTGGTCAATCTGTTGATATCTGACATTCTCCGCTTGGAAACGTTTGCTAATACAACAAAAGATGCCCAAAAGGTCATAAAATTTGTCCGGAATCATGCCTTTGTCAAAGCTAAATATGAAGAAATTCGGAAGGAACTAAATGTTAGTAAAAAATTATCAATGCCTGTGCCGACACGATGGTATAGCCACTATACTTCAATTAAAAATTTGATAGATTCAAAATATGTTCTTATGAAATTGGTGGATATGCATAAGTATCAGTTAAAGGAAGTTATGCCAAAAGAAGCGTCAAAAGAAGTGATTAAATTGATTGAGCGTAATAGTTTTTGGGATAAACTGTGCAAATTGGCAACAATTCTTGAGTATCCATCAAATATTATAGGTATGCATATTACATGATTAAAATTCTAACATTAATCTTTAAAAATAATTTTAACAGGTAAACTCGAGAAGGACAATACAAGCTTAAATGCTGTCTACGATTACTTTGGCAAGCTTTATACACACTTTGAACAAGACAAGACTATTCAAAGACTCGTGAAGTATCGTTGGGATTATATTCTTACAGAATCTATGGGAGCTGCCTATATGTTGACTCCAAAATTCAGTGTCGATGGAGTTTATGTAGACCACGACAAGATCGATATCGTTGGTCACATCAAAAAGATTGTGGCTGTTGTTGATCCTATAAAAGCATCTGATGTTGATGGAGAATTTGCAATGTATGTCAATATGATTTCAAATCTACCAGCAGACAAGCAACAAATGATTTATCAAATGGACGCAAAGCCTTATTGGAAGGTTTTTGGCAAAAATGAATTTCCAGCACTATATATTTGTGCTAATCGTGTGTTTGATATGGTGGCATCGTCTGCTGCTTCGGAACGTGTTTGGTCTGCTTTTGGATTTATTCATTCAAATTCGCGTAATCGATTGATTACAACTCGAGTTGAAAAATTAACGTCAATTTATGTGAACAATGCCATTCTTAAGCAGCTAGATGCTATTAATAGCTTATTTTCTGATGAATTCTTATATGAAAATGATTTTGAATAGCTGCATTATTCATTATATTTAAATTAGCAAAAAAATAAATAACGTATTTTTTGATTTTTGAAAATCTCATATGCGACTATATAGTCGCATATATTCGACTATTTTTTTGTTCATAGTCGAATATATTCGAATATATTCGACTATTTTCCCAACCCTAATTTGGATGGATGAAGTGGATTTGATTTTTGATGGATCGATTGAAACTTAATAGAAGTTAAGTGTATGATAGGTGTTGGTTGGTAGTAAGTTGTCTAGTTCTTTTAATGTTGTGGTGTAATGTAAGTTAAAGGTGTCAAAAATAATGTTTTAAATTAGGTGTTGCATGGACAAAGGCAAAAGCTACCATGTTTTGGTGAGGCACCTCCCCAAAAGTACCTATCTGACAATTCTGGCATTAATAAAATGTTCAGGATTCAAAGATGGTTCAAAATCTGCACATTTTGATTTTTCTTCTTTGGACGGTCCTAATCTGTGCTGCTATCAAGGGTGTGGAACTGAAGAATTTCATTTTGATCATTTTTGATCATTTCATCAGTACCACACCCTTGGTTGCTGTAGTACAGGGGTGAACAACATTTTTTCTGGCACATAGCAATCGGTTCGTGAGATTTCCGAGATTTCCCCAATTTTTTTTCCGGTACACAAGTGTTCCTCAATACATATGTAGGTTGGCCATCACTGCTATAGTAAATTTTGGTTGTCTTATTCTTTTGCTGCATTACTAATCTAGAGTTAAGAGTTTCAAACATGGAAGGGGAAGGGATGGATTTTACACCCAATTGAATAAATTTATATAGATGTATTAGGATTCGAATCCAACCCACTATAACATCTTTTACTCATTTTTAAAACAGCCTGTAGATTTAGATTGATGATAAAGACCAGGATCCAGTTTTTTATTGCAAATTAAAAAAAAATTATGTGACCCTAACTCCCATTTCCTCCTTTCCAACCTAATTTTGCTCGTTCCAGTTTAATATTAAATTTTTGTCTGGCTTTATGGCAGCTTTATGTGCAGAGCTTGCAAATGGGTCGGATCCCACTATAAACTGTAGGTCTAAAAGGTGTGGTACAATAGATTCTGTTCTAATTTGAATCGCAGTGCCTCCAGCTGAAAGGCTGGGCCCTTCACACATTATTATTATTACGGCAGCTTGGTGCCATCTTTGTCATATGCCATTCAGGCATGTCCTGTCAACATATTCAGTCGTGTAACTGACTAAACCTCCTTTTAATCCTCCAAACACTCCAAAAAAAAGTTTCCTGAGAATTTTACAAATACTCACTCACATTCAGCATACTTTTTCCCACTTAAAGTGCCATAATCACTCGCTATGACAGTTTTCAATGACATTTTATACTTGACTTTTATTTTTCCATTCCTGAACAATATTCAAGCTAACATGACATTGTCAACGAGTTTCCCACTGAGCACCTCTAGGCACATCTCTCGTTCTCTTTTGTGTGTATGTCTCTTCATACAGTTTGTGTGTATATTTGCCTTTAAACAACACATTGTGTATATGCATATATATATAGATTGTGTGTTGATGATAAAATGTATGGAATGGAATTGAAAATTCAGAAAAAAAAGTTGGTGGAAGGAGTTTTGGGAGAAAGAAAGGCACTTTAAAATTATAATAAATTAACATAATACACACATAATTTTCATTTTTACTAGCATTTATGCTGAATTATTACTCAACTTTCTAGCATTTCTGCGTGACACAAATTTGTTTATAAGGAAGAAGAATGGCATACAACATGACATTAATTTTAATTCGATGACTATTTTTGTGTGTGTTGCGTACAAGCACAAAAGCTGAGTTGAGAGCGGAAAATGCTTGATGTGGCAATAATCATAAAAAATTTTCCTCGATAAAAATCACTGTGAAATGTTTTGTTTCAATTTGAAATAGCGAACAAGGTTCTTTTTTATTGTATGTACGGTAACAGGCTTAGTTGAAGGTATCTGAATATTTAATGCTGAATTTTTGTGGGATTCTCAGGGATTCTATGATTTTTTAGTACAATTTTATAGCGATGATATCAAAAAGTTTGATGACATTTTGTCATTTTGAACTTAGCAGATCATTTGAGTAGTATTTTGAACTTTTAAGGATGCTTTGAGAGTTATGAATTTACTTTTAGAGCTTTGAAGGTGAATTTTCAAAGATTTTAAGGTCAAATTGTATTTTTTTGCTTGTGTCGATTACGACAAGAAAATTAATTAAAATATTAATTTTAATTTGAGATTTAAGTGTTGTTTTAAATTTTTATTTAATTTTTGATTCACAATTTTAATTTTTTAATTTTTTATTTCATTTTGTGTTTTTGTTTTATTTTAGGGTAAATGACCTTGAAATTTGCGCATTTTCACACATGAAATTTTCATTTGCTTCAATCTCTTCGGAGGATTGTAACTGAGTCCAACTAATGGTCTTGAAATGCAGGGAATCAAAGATATTTTCTTCTTTATATGTGTAAAGGAAGCTCTGCTGCGTCAATGCAGAGAAATTTGACTTTTAAAGTTGAACTTTGAAATTTGCGCAGAAAACTTTGAAATTTGCGCAAAAAAATCTTAAAATTTGCGCACTTTTTCAGTAGCGATCTTTGACATATTTTAAAGAAAAATGTGTAAACAAACATTTTTCTTTACATTTATTTGGTGCATCAACTCTAAATTCAAGCAAAAAATGGAGCCATGGATTTAAATTTTTATGAACTTTTTGATCAAGAATTTCTACAAGAAAGAATGTTTTATTTTGTGGTTGGTGTATATGTGGCTAGCTCGTTCAATTTCATGTCAAGAAGAGACATCAAGAAAAACATGTCTTGAAAATTTATTTCAAGCCCTGACAAGAACAGTTCAAAACTCACATATCAAATATCAAACAAATGTCAATTTTAAAGCACTTCTAAATGTCAGGATTTATTTATAACATATCAAATAAACAAAAAATATTTTAAGCATTAAACATATTTTTGTCTCCATTCTTTATTAACTGATGACTTTCCATACTTAAACAGGACCTTCATGGATGTTTCCTTGAAGTGCTCAAATTTGATCATTTTTGACGGTTTTCTTGACTTTTGCTGGCGTTTTTATTGAAATAAATATTTAGAAATCATTTGCATAATTTTTGTCCTATGTCCTCATATCCATTTCATCAACAATCCTTCTAAAATCCTCATTTTTGGATTTAAATATTAATTAATGTTGACAAAATTTTCTGTCGATTTCTACGATACAAAGTGCGCAAATTTCAAAATTTTCAGAAAATTTTGCGCAAAATTCAAGGTTCAAAAATGGGAACTTTTAAAATGGAATTTTAAAGCAGTTTTACTCATCCTTTTGAATTTGCACCATCAAAATAATTTGAAGCAACGTCAGATCTTCATTTTTTGGTACCAAAATCCCAACTAAATCTATCGCATACATCCCAAAATCAAATTTTTAACAAATATTTTTTTTGTATGGGATTTTTCGGGTGCAAATTATTGAGCATCCTAATGGTTTAATATCACTAAAAATGATGCAAAAACATCTGCGCTGGTGTTCTACAAACATTTCCCATTGATCGTCTGAACAGAAGTGACATTTTTACATATAATTTTAAAATTTTCGTTTTCATACGAGTGCGCAAATTTCAAGGTTGCGCAAATTTCAAAGTCATTTACCCTAATTTTATATTTTCACTTTAATCCTGTAAAATGTACCATGTTAGTTTTATTACAATATAATTTTTTGTTGATTTCTTACTCTTTTTCCCTTTTTAATTAATTTCCTTTTTTGTCTTCCTTCCTTCTTGCTTGATTTTTTATTTTAAAGAGAGCGAGTTCAGTAAAATTTTGTTCTACCTTAAGTAGATCAATCCAATTCAAATATTTAAAATTCCGTTAAAATTCAAATGACTAAATATCGTTAAAATGATTTTAATTCATAATGTGAATTGACAGCTTGTGTGTGATGATGCAAAGTTTACGGACTCTTAAAGACCTTTTAAAGACACTCAGAGACTTCCACAGCCACTAAAAGACTCCCACAGACAGCCACAGATCTTTGAAGACTACCACTGAATCGCATATTCTTCAAGAAGGACCTTTGTAGACTCTCAAAGCTCAAAAAGTGCTTTTTTGAATTCCATAGACCCAGTTAACTGATATTTTGAATTTTCTATCGAAGTAGGGTAGGAGGGGGTTCTTAGTGAAGATTCCTTGGGATGAGGTCCTGGAAACAGATTTTACTGGTCTAAGGAGAACTTGGTTGAGGAGACTTAAGCCATTTATACTGTGGATTGAGATAAATACTGAAGAAAAAACATGGTTAAGGCAAGAGGGGTTTTGCGATGGTGTACTTAACCTTATTTTATGTGGTCCTTAAAATTAAAGCTTCTTAAAATCATGAAACCAAAGAAATTAGGTAAAAATGTGCCTAGTTTTTTTTTGTAGGGGGACAGGTGCGTAACCAGGGGAGGATTTGAGGTATAAATCCTCGACGTTAACAGAATACATTTTTTTTCCATAAAATATTTTTTTTGTGCCCCCCCTCTCTTCAAATTCCTGGCTACGCCCCTTTAGGAAGGAAGGGGGGTGCTTGTAGGTTTGAGATTTTGTGAAATAATTTAGGTCTTTAGTTTTTTGAATCCCCAACCGGCACTAATTTTATCGATCCAATTTTTTCACACCCCCACATCCTTAGTATCTGACTATGCCATGCTATATAAAATTAATAAATATCTAAACTGTCTATAGCAAGAAATTTTTATAATCCTCATGTCTAGACTTTATCAATCCTTATTTAAAAATTTCCAAGTATTTCCTCTTTAAATTTAAAGTTCTTCCTTCCCAAAAACCTTTTAATAATCCCCTCCATACTGTTACTCACTCTGCCATCTCTCGATTTTACAAGATAATTCTAAAATGTGTGAACTATAATTTCATGTCTGATTATAGTCATTATTAGCATTTTCTCATGTATAACGGGTGTCATTTGTTATCTAGTTTGTAACTTCTCAAGAATAAGAAGTGAAAGTTTTGCGTGTTTGAGTCGAAACACAGAACAAAATGAAAAATTCATCACAACAATTTTAGATACATGCGTACCCGTCATAGCGTGATTTAAAGTAAAACTAAGGCTGGAAAAAGGCATCAGTAG